AAGATGCCTGAATGGGAAACCTCCTGGGACCACCTGTTGTGAACTGCCCTGAGCCCGTCCATGGGGAGGGCGGTATATAATCAAACAAATAAAAATACAAAAATAAAGTATATGGAAGCTGCCTGGAGCTCTTTTGTGGGGTACAAAGGCAATGAATTCAATTCTCAAGAGAACTCTGCAGGGCTCAGACCCAGAACTTCTTCTGGATGCCAAAGTGCCACTGTGCTTACGTGGAGCTTGGCTATCTGTCTGCTCCCCTGCTTCTCCAGTGAAGAGAGGCAAGGCTTCCCATTAGGCTTGGGCCCCAGCTGTTCTGTTCTGCATGTGTGAGAAATCAACCACCAGAGCTCAGCCTTTGCAGCACCTGGCTTGACTTTCACATCTTCCTGCACTAGGCTTCTACTCCAGGAAAGGGCTTTGTGCAGTATTGTGTTGTTTGCATTTCAGAGCAGCTGTCGCACTGCTGCTGCAGCTTCACTTCCCAGAACAGCTTGGTGGTGTTTATTCCTAGCTGGCTGTGGCAGCTGCTCTGGGGCAGGGAAGGTTCTCCCTCCTTCATTCTCTCAGTGAGAGAATCATGCAATTAGCCAAGGCCTCTTCTGAAGGTCAAACCTAACAGATCTGCTGCTGCCCCCACCCCACACGCATCCCAGCAAGAAGCCACCAGGTGAGTTACGGTAGAGTCTCTGGCTGAAAAATTCCAAAATGAGAGAAAATGCCTGGCCAAGGCCAAGACCAGTTGCTGAACACAGGCTAATGTGGTTTCATATGCCAGCCATGATCTGAATATTGAAAGGGGTGGAGAGACAAGTGTGTGAGTCCTTGTTTCTTTCTTCCAGCACCTTTGCACAGGAAGGGACAGAGAGGGACATTATGGGCCCTTCCTGAGTTTAAAAAGAAAACTGTCTGTGCTGATAGCCACAGCATTGTTCAGATCTCTTTAAAAAAAAAAGGCCAAATGAGAGCTCCAGCACAGGCTTTGCACAATGGGGGGGACACACAGCCACTGAGGAGTGAGGACAAAAAGAAATTAAAATATACAGATGTTTGCAAAGAGTGGCACAGGCACTGGAGGCACTGGAACTCCAATCAGTGGCTCTAACATTCCACACAGGCACATCCCTTACAGCAGCCATGGATGTGCCTGTGTGGAGTGTTAGAGCCACTGATTGGAATTCCAGTGACATCTCTGGTGATTAATTTTACAACTCTGCTTCTCCAGTGCCTGTGCCACTCTTTGCAAACATTTAGGGAATGGAAGGCAGTTTGAGCTCAAAGAAAACACACAGTGCTCCCCTGAAGGACATCCCACTCCTGATAATGGAGCAGAGCCTCAGACATCCAGATCAAGTCACAACTGAATATTTATTGAGCTATTAATGCTGTGTAAAGGTGTGCACAGAAAAAGGCATGAGGGGCTACCATGGGGCAAGTTCTGCTTGGATGCCACCTTTGCTCCTCTATCAACTCGCATACCTGACTGTGAAGTCAAAGATGACTTGAAGTGTAGGAAGAGAGGTGATAGGCAGGCTGTCCGCTCTGTTTTGTCCGTGGGCTTGGTGCAGCTTTTGGTTTGTGCCCATCACATGAAGTTGCCTGAGATCTCCGGACTATCCTATACTTACTATGATTGGCAACGGCTCTCTAGGCAAAGGCTGGAGATGCCAACGGTTGAACCTGGGACTCTCTACATACAAAGCAGGTATTCGACCACTGAGTCCCATACACACACACCCTAACTCTGAAATGATGTATATCTGTTCTCAGCCTGAACTGGCCATCTGACCACCTAACAGATCCTTCATGTCTTAAACAGCAATCATGCTTGCTGTAGTCCCCATCTGCTCCCGCAACATGGCCAACACTGCCATAGCAGGAGCACCTTCTCTGCCTCTGTGTGAAAGCAGCCTGACACCAGCCTTTTCCACAGTACCTATATGCAGTGCATAGGGTAGATGGGTCTCCTTAAACACACAGCAGCCACGCTTGGGAAGCCTGTTTCCAACTCTTTAGGGGGCACACCTCTCATGGGAAACATCAAAATCAGTGTTGCAGCAACAAACACCATTGCTGCATAAAGTGGGGAAAATTTCTTCCATGGCCGCTGTACAAAAGGCTTCGCCTTTTCACCAGCCCTTGCCCTGTCTGCCTCTCCAGCCTGTACACCACATTGCTTTTGCCCTGCAGTGACTTCAGCAGCTGAGCTCCAAATAGAGCCCATCATTTACTGGGAAGGTCTCCTATATCTCCAGCTTGTCTTGCCACACCGACTCCTTCCCTTAAGAATCGCTGCCGCAGCATGTCCAGTTATTGGTTAATGCAGTAACCTGACCTGTTTCCCTGAGCCCTCAAGCACTGAACCAAGACAACAGAGGGGGAGAGCATCTTGCCCTTCTTGTTCCCAAATGTTTCCATCTGGGTTTGTCTCTCTTCCCTGCAGCTTTTCTGGGAAGGGCAAGCGAGGATAGCATGGAATGCAGCCCTTAAAAAAAGAGGGTTGGTTTTGTTGTTTTTTTGTCTTTTGAGCTCTGTGGATAATTAAGCCCCAAACCTTTCCATAGCCCAAGGATGCCCTGCCAAACACTACAAAAAGCTAAGTCTGGGGGCTGAGATGGAGGGAGGGACACCTTTTCCAGAACAAACACTTGAAAATGTTTTCCAGCATTCTCCAGTGGGATGTTCAGGAAATGTCTTTTGAGTGACAGCAGCCCAAGGAGCTACCTAGCCAGAGAGGATTCCCCTGGATGCTTTGCAGAGCAGGTCTAGCCACCTAGAGAAGGTCTCTGGAGAGGCAGTATGTATATGTTGTCTAAGTAAATAAATATGATGTAGCTTTCCTCCTAAACAATCTGCACAGATTCCAGTGGGTAGCCTTGTTGGTCTGAAACAGCAGAACAAAATTTGAATCCTGTGGCACCTTTAAGACCAATGAAGTTTTATTCAAGGTATAAACCACTGGACTCAAACGTTAATCTGCACATATATTTGAGATGCCTTTGCAAAAACATGGGTGAGGGGGATCAAGAAGGAAAAGCTAGCTGAGCTGTTGAGGAAATGGGGTGTTCATAATCCAATCAACAGTGAACAGGAATGTGGCCAATGTTCCCTCTAAGCTGTGGAGTCTTGTGAGCAAAAATTCTACCTTGTGAGCTATGGGCATTAAAGTTGTGAGCGAGCGATTTGCCTATTGCATAAATCAGTTTGCTCTGGAGCCGTCCTTGCTGAACCAAGACAAAAATGTGTGAGCCAGAGGCTAAAAAACTGTGAGCTAGCTCACACCAACTCAGCTTAGAGGAACACTGAATATGGCACAAGATACTTATCATGTTAACAGGATTATATTGGCACTTCAGCTTCTTGCAGTCCCTACCATTTCCATCCCAAGAGGCACCAAATGGCTATTTTTTTAAAAAAAATCCCCATTTGTCATAGAAATTGGGTTTTGGTACACCAGCAGCTTCAAATGTAATACACAGAATGCTAGCTATAGCTACTCTGAATTTTAGCCACGCAAACAGATAGTTTATATTGTCAAGGTCCACAGACATACAAGATTCCTTGCATCACAAGGAATCCAAGTGCCTACAGGGAGAACACAAGTTCCACCTCCCAGCCCTTGGCTTCCTGGAGAAGACTGATTTGCAGAACACAAACTTCTCAAACGGAAATTTGGCTGGCAGTCCTCCAACCAAATGGGACTGAATTGATGCCAGAAAACTCCCAGGTTCGGTCTTCCTGTTGCAAATTGTGTCAGGGTAGTGACCTGACTGGCCCTTCCTTTGTATTAGGTGGGCCAGTAAAACGTCCCTGCAACATCCCAGCCCGGGCAAGAAGGACGCCCTCTAGCGCCTTATCTGCCCTCCTCGATCTTCTGTTTTACCTGCACTCAGGAAAATACGAAAAGAGGAACTATTGCGGGAGGGGGGGGGGGGGGGCTACAAGAACTGG